AGCCTTTGGCTTTATTTATCTATGTCCGTCATTGAGTGATGCGCAGACCAAACCAACACGCTCAAGCGACAACTGTGGTTTAGATTTATGCTCATTCTCTTGAGTTACTTCACTGTGATGAAGTGAATCTTCGAAAAGTTTAACGGCTGCAAATCTTCCCATTTTCCGAAAAGCCAAATAGCTAGGAGGCATCCTGCCTTTAATCACATAGCCGTGAAAATATGCGCGCATTCATTAACACTGTAGTCGCTTGTCAAATAGCGGACATATCACCAGTGATACCATCAACTGATTGTTCCAAGCATTGCATTTTGGCAAGACATTTGATGACCTCAGGCAGATGCAAAACGTGGACGAGCAATAGTTTGACACAATTGACACAAATTGACGTTTATCTGTAAATTTAAGCGTCAGCTATCTAACTTGACCATGGTTATGCAAGCTGCCCCTTATTTTCGGCCTTTCCTAACCAAATTTTAGCACTTTAACCTAAAATTATTATCCATGTTAAAACCAAAGCAAAGTGAGCATGTCAGCGTTAGCAAGAGCGTCATCTAGTGCATATAGAAATTGCCGAAATACAAGTGTCCTTTTGTGCTGAAATTTTCCATCTTCTTCATCTCTTGCATTCTACAAGCGCTTCTATCTACCTTCTTGTGAAGAAAATAACTTGATATCAACCCCCTTTCTCTAACTTTTGACTCCCGTATATGTTTACCTACATTATTTGCTATGCCTTGACTGATTGTCATGCTTTTGAAACATCACGATACATTTGAAGTTACTTGCCTGTTTGTACCTGGTATCTTGACTTTTGATTAAAAATATTAGCTGCAATTTTTTTGTGGCATTTTAACATTATTTTATCTCTATTTAACAATACCAACATAATAAAACGATTTTTGTGTCAGGTTGATATATCATCCTCAGAGGTAATTGATGGATCTTTGTCATAGAAATTCTACTACTTCCAAGAATGCTTAGCGTATCTTGTTGCAAATATACAAGCAGTTTATTTTTAAGTTGACTGCATTGGTGCCACGTCTAATTTTGCCTTTTGAGCAGGCTATAATTGCAGAAGCGAATAGTGGTGCATACCTTTACTAGGATCGTGGCCACGCCAAAGCTGATTAACAACATTACCTCCACTTACACAGTCCCACAGACAGCGCGGTGCCCATCAGGAATAGGATTTAATGTTTATAAAAATGGTACAAGCACAGAACTAACAGTCATGGTTGTTTCAAATGGTCCTTTCGGTCCACGTCAACACCACTCATATGTCTTAGGAGAGCTAACCACAAAACTTCAAACACTCAACATCCACGTTCATTTCCAGACCACTGATATTGCCAATTTTATGTCACCCTTGAAAGGTACCTT